TCTGTTCACTTCCTAGAATTAATAAGTGAACGAAATATTGCAAATTGCTTAACTTTCAAGATATTTCTTTCACTAACGATGCAAAAGCAAGCATAAGAGTACATACAAATTTTTAAGTTCGCAAGCACAAGGCTGAAAATATTTTCGCGTCTTTGCTTGTGCTGGCATTTCTTTTTGTTTCGTATGGAGTCTCATATTGGGGCTTGTTTTGGCGTAGTTCAACCAACTGCGCACTGATCAGCTGGAGTCCCTGGAGAAAGCGTTTCCTTAACATTTTAAAAAGGCGTGGGTTGAATTTACCTAATTTTACCAGGGGTTTGTACAGCCAACTGATTTCTGACGTCGCTCTTCAGGTCCTACGTATCTCGTCTTTGAGGAAACGGAACATGGCAGTCTGTTGGAATATCTTAAGAAAAACCGGATGGGTGATGAAATGAATTCTACACGAAACTTTTGCACGTTATCCAAAGTGGAAAAATTAAGAATAGCTCTTGATGTGTCTAGAGGAATGAAGCACATAACAGAGAGAAATGTGAGTAAAGAAACGGTTTATCATGTTCGTATTTGTTCATCATTGATGAATTTTAACCAACCTCACTTGCATTCCATTTCTGTTCAGTGTTAAATCTCATGCAGGCAAACTTCCGATTATGTTGATAGTTTTGATCAAGAAATTCCAACCGTGTCGAAAGTATTTCGGGATTTCTCTGGTATTGCGCTACTTCGCTCTGTGATTGGTCCAGAAAACTGGTGCAACTTTTTTTAACCATTTAAGTTCAAAACTCCAATTCCACGCGAGTAGATCGCACGTGTTTTTCTCGCGCTTCAAACAATTGACATGTTTTTACTTTGAGCTCTCATTAGTCTTCTTGCGACAAATTCTTGTATTCTCATTGGCTGTTGGAATTTATTTGGGTTTGGTTTTACGACTCTCAATCGAAATCAAGGAAATAAATTTCTATTTTTTTCTCTTCTTATACTTTAATGTGCAGTGCATCCATAAAGGTCTCGCTGCCCGAAACGTTCGTCTTGGTAAAAATTGCATCGCCAAAGTCGCTAATATAGGCTGCTTTAGTGCTGGATGCGATAAGACATTCTATGAAGACATTGCAAAGGTAGGTTGGAATCTTATTTACCTTTGAGGGCTTTTATATCTCTAAATAGTACGTTTTATCGATGAATATGTGCATCACTTCGTTACTTTTTCAAAAGGGAAACTTATCAGAAGCAAGATGGATGGCCCCAGAAAGCTTAGAAACAAAGGATTTCACGTCTGAGAGCGATGTGTGAGTACAGACGAAACAGCGTTGTAATATTCACAAACTCACTCCCAGGTTCTCTCGTCTTTTCATACTCTCGCCTTAGGGGGTTGGGAGAGAGATTATTGTATCCACTCTCTGATTTAAGAGACCTTGAATCTCACTTTGTGTAACCTATATTTTTATTCTATTGTAGATGGTCTTTTGGCGTATTACTTTGGGAGATTGAAACTGGAGGCAAGTACTGTTTGATTCAGTGAGGGTCTTTTGTCCCATATTTGTCGCTCTGTCATTAGGGACCATCACCAGGGTGGTGGGGAGTAGAGGATTTTTGAGATGGAGGGGGGGGGGGGTGTCAGTCCTCTCCAACAGAGTACAAAGGGGGACTACAGAAATTGCCAACGAAGAGGGGTGGGGGTCATGAGAATTTTTCAGAGCATTAATGGGGGGATAAGGAAAGGTTTAATGTGACACACCCAAATTTTTTCAACTCTTCCCCTCCTTCTTCCTCTTCCCAGGCAATAAATAATGAGTGGTTTCTGTCACCGGTCCTTTAGATCGTGATAAACTTCAAAGGCTCTAGAATAAATTAGATATTAAATTGAAAGAATTTCTGTGTGGCTCTTTGGTCTCAGGTGATGTTCCTTATCCTGGAGTTCAGACAAAAGATCTTCTGGAAAGCTTAAAATCTGGACATCGTATGGATAAACCTGTGAAAACTTCTACTGTTGTGTAAGTAAGGTTTTATAGTTCTATTTTGACTTTCGACTTCCTAACAAAAAAATATATCCCTTGATTAAAGCCAGTTTTGGTATTTGTTCAATTTATCAAATTCGTTCAAAGCGCACTGAAAATTTAATTGCAACTGACCAATCGCAATAAGCACAAAAGAGGAATAATTCAAATGACGTTCGGAGGTAAAATTCCAAGAAACAGAAAAACATGGAACAGGTAGAAGCATCAGTTGTCTCCTCGCCCCAATCCCCGACCCGAAGAGGCACCAAGCGAAGGATGGGGGCAAGAAGACCGCTGACACTTACCGTTCGTTTTATAACAGAGCAACTTTCAATTGAGTGTTAAAAGTAATCCAATATTTTGTTGGTTTTTAATTAATTCGGTCTGATTAATTTGGTTTTGGTTTTTTGACAGTCAATTGAAAAGTGTGCTGATGAATAAGATAAGTTCGTAGTTGAAGACGAGCTTTGTTTTTTCTCTTTTCCTGCAGCTATGAATTGATGACCAAGTGTTGGCGGTTCTCAGCCATAGACAGACCAAAGTTCAGTGAACTGTGCATGGTGCTTGACACCCTGGTTACCAGGGAGACCTACGATTGATAAAAATGGCAGATTGTCTCTCTCGAAAGATCCTCAATGAAAACAAATTTTTTTCGTTTTATCTTCAAGAGCCAACTTTTGGTCGGTAACTAAATTCCTAGCTCATACAGATTTAACTTCCAAATATTTTGTTGATTACAGCTTCCAAACATACCCTAGCTGCTTGGTGGTTTATCTCGTTGGTCACGTGACTGCGCAGTGTTATGATCAACTGTGAAAAATAAAGAAAGATTAATGACCATTTAAAGGAAAATTAATAGAACGCCACTGAAAATAATTGTTTATGTCTAAAAAAACCCTTTTAAATGAAAAATTAGTTTATTAGTACTTTGAAATAGTTTAATTTGTTGTACAGCGTTTGCATGTAGATATTTACTAAGAGTAGAATGCTTTTATTGCTTGCAAATAAACTTGACATAACTTTTGCGATGCTAGGAACTGCTTTGCCAGATTTATCCACGTAACTTTATCTGCGACAGGCTAAAGGACTTACAATACATTTTATTTTACTTTAAAGGGGCGGCACCGACATTTGGGCATGCGTGAACTACAGGCGCCAACCTTTAAGCTTTAGCGTTTTTCTTCTCGAAAGCGCATGCCATTACAAGAGACTATACTAGTATAACGAGTTTAAAAGTGGAGATTACTTTCACATAGGAGATAAAATAAAAATTAACATGAGTTTCACAACAGTTTTGTTTGGTACTTTCACAAGTGCAATTGTTTCATTAGTTTAAATTGATGACCCAATAGAATTTGAGAATTAAATGAAAAAAGAAATTCATACAAGCTCCCGTTAATACTCATGATTTTCAACCATCTAACACCAGTGGGGGCCTGACACGAGCCACTTCAAGGAGGAATTGCTCAGAGGCGGTGGGGTGGACACATAGCGACATGAACTTAGACTGTGACAGCAACGAAAACTCGACCTAAGTGACTGGATCTACCTTATCCCGCTCAGTGAGCAGACAAAACAACTTCAGGAGCAGGAACTGATCCTTGACATTTCCTTTAAAAAGTCACGAATAAACAGGTTGCGAAATGCTTTTTTCCCTGACCAAATAGAGGTAAAAAACTGCTTCAATGTTTGGACCGCTCTTGTCTTTTTTAAGGTAATTACCACCCTGTGGGATACTTCGGAATACAAAATCTACCAAATTACGTATCGTGATTTTAACAAGTAGCCCATGACGTCACATCGACTTCCGTTTCCCAGCGAGAGGTAAGTCACGAAAGTTATCAGGCTGAGTTTATACGGATCATAGTCAGAATGATCCACTCATATTTCCTTATATATTGTTTTTGGACAGCATGATACTATTTCTCAAACCTATCACTTTGCATGAACAATAATATTTGCTCAACAATGAACCTCTCTGATGATTGGCCTCCAGTGCCATCTTAAATTCAGATTTCCATGGAAACGATTTTAGCAACTCTTCGCCAAGCGCTAATTTGATGCATGATTTCCTCCAAAAGTTTTGGTAAAACATCTTCGAGATTAGCCTGCGTTTACATTTCTAAACCAGCCTCCTAACAAGCGGCCACCATCTAGTATAGATGGAATGAGAGATTCGGAGGTGAGGTTGCAAAAAGCGTTTCACAAATCCTTTAAGACAAACGAAGTGCTTAAACAATTGACTCGCCATAAATTTTGACCAAAAGCTTTTGACTTTTAATTAGTCTCTTGGGATAATTTCAACCCCTTTTGTGGCTTTTTTACTTGGCTTTACAGTTCACCGTTATGATTTCTAATTGTGCTTTAATTCATCACAAAGGAGAGAGATTACAGCGCCGCAGAACACGAAAAAACTATGGAAGGTGAAGCCGCTGTCGAGGAAGACGAGGGTTTTCATACAGTCACTGCTGGTAATTGATCTGTGTTTATGTATATTCTGATATTAGAGAAAAAATTAGCATTCTGAAAATGGGAAGTATGAAGCAATTAGATTTGTTCGAGGATCAATATCTATCATAAAGCTTTTAGGTACAACAATATTATGCATTAAGGAAATTTGTAAATACGAAGTGTAAAGTTCGAGTACAGTTAAAATTGAAAGTCGCTAGTTTGCATAATTTTGATGCACTAAGTTGCATCTTCCAATAAGGCAACATTGATCCAGGCAATTTTCTTGATAACGATTTCAGACCCATGGACATAAAAGGATTAGAACAACGAAAAGAAATGGGAAAAGTTACACAACACGGATCCACGCGCGTGAAAATTTGTAACAGTGCGATTCGATCCTATTTGGCCAAATTACACGGCTTTTGAGATCGTGCGTATCATTTCTTTCAAATGAAGAAATACAACCTAAATAGTATTGATATAATTTCATTGAATACCTTCAATTTGGGGAAAGTTGCTTCCTCAAATCAACATGAAATAAATTTTTTTCATAGATGAAGACGAAAGCAGTGTGGCAGAGAAAGCTACGAAACAAGACAAGCCGCAAACGAATATGAAAGCCAACCAAGGTTCTAAGCCCGCAAGCTCCAAAGCATCAACCCATATGGATAAAAAGACACAACAGATGTTAGCAGAGTTTTACAGGCTAAAGAATCAGATGAGAGAATTTCAACAATCCATACAACGACCTCCTGTGTAAGCACAAAAGTACAAGTGAACTACAGGCTTTATGACGAAGTAATGAGGTTGCATTTCTGGTTGAAGGTTTTAGTTCTCCACCTCCCTACTGCTCACTAGATTTGTTCTCAGCTAATGACGTTCAAATTCTTGGATATGGGTTGTTCAACTATCTATGTATTTATGGTCTTCCTCCTGGCAGTTAGAATTTTTCAACATTAGTTAAGAATATTTCTGTAAAGGAAGTAGGGTAAAAGCCTAAAGTTACATCTGATAGGGTACTGGATTCTCCTTTCACGTTTTCACATTTTGCCTAGTGAAACGCAGGGAGAAGTTGATGTTGCATCAGAAGTTCTTAAGGCCTTTTCTTGTCCCCCTTCATGTGAACCCTGAAAACACTACGAATTTTTAGAGTGGTCTTTAAAATAAAGACATGATAATTAAATATGTTAATAAATGAATAAATAGATAATCTCAACTCAGAAGATTATGATTCTTTAATTTCTATTTTCACCCTCTGAAATATGTGTATATTGTTTATTGATTCATTTATTATTCATAAGTAAAGTGCTGACCTCTACCATGTGAGATAATATTGACAGTTGGCTGGGGCCAGGGGGTTGATAACTAGTAGGCTGAATCATTTCTTCACTCTGAGAAAACTGACATGGGGGCTCCAACCAATTGCATATACTTTATAAAAAAAATGGATGTTTGGCTCAATGACATCACTTTCTTATTATTATTTCCAGCCAATTGGCACTGAGTATTTAGCATTTTTTGTACTTTTTCCCAACAGGAGACCATTTACTCCTGATATTTTTAATAGTCTATCACCCTACTACAATCCCTACATGGTCAACACTACAATTCAAGATCTTCAGCAGGTATTTAATTATTCACAAATGACCTCCAACTTTCCTTCTCTGATATGTTTCTGCAGCACTAATGATACAAAGGAAGCACAGCTGATTTCAAACATAGAGGGGGGGGCTTATGGTACATTGAGCCAAGAGTATATCCCTACTCACACTTTTTTAAATGTTCTTTGCATAATTTGATGGTACAAGTAAGCTTCTGTGCAATCTTAATAGTGTCTATTGTATATGTAACTCTGAATTGTGGCAATGCTTAAGTGAAAAGTTTTTGCCATAAAAGAGCAACACCTCTTTATTTACCCAATGAACCTCAAGCATGATCCTGATGA